TCCTCTAGATATTAATATATTTAATATATTTTATTTAATATATTTTATTTCATTAATTTAATTATAATTAATTTAATATGACTTTTTAAAAAATTATGTTAATTTTTTACAATTATTTTGCAATTATTTTAAAAATATTTATTTGATTTATTGTAATTTTTATGTTTTTTACACTAAAAAAAAGTTACTTATACCTTGAGGCACACTCAGTTTCAGATCTTTCTCCAGACCACGTCTGCAAAACTTTTATTTTATTTATTTATTTTATTTTTTTTGGGCTGCGTTTTTCAAAACACTGAACCGTTCTCTACATTTAGACACAAAGCTAACATCTGTTGTGTGTGGTTTGGAAACACTGCCATTCAAATTCCACTCATTTACTGATTACACCAAGTGTGCATGCAGTGAGAAAACACTTCTAGCCGATCTGTTTACTGAGAAATCAGAGCTAGAGCACTATAAATACACCTTTTCTTTACACTAACTGTGGGCTTGTTTACAGTAGCTTCGATATCTTCTATTGTGGCTCATTAGAAAACCCCATTAGTCACACATCTCTGGCAAAAGCAAATACCTCATTCATTCAAAACTATTTTAACTCTTCTCAAAATAGTGTTGTTGCAACATAACTCTTCACACAAGCATCTTATGGTTATGCATGCCAACTTTTGCTTGTTCAGTGTGTGGCAAAGTGCACAAGTTTGTCGTACAGTATCATGTGCACAAATACTGTATATGCCGTATGTTTACATATTCCTACACATTTACACAGCCATCTGAAAGATTTAGCCCTTGGTATAATTCTAACATTACATCAGAAGAGATGTGCAGGTGTCATTTCATAAAAAGAGATAAACTTTGTTTCATGTTGACTTTAAGGTTTTGTGCAAACTAAAAAGGGAAAACCGAGAAAGTGTGAAAATCCAGGTGTGAGAGCATTTGAAAAATGTGCTGCAAATATACAGTGTTTTGCAGGTGGTGGAGTATAAATGATTTTATGAGTTGATGGGTTCAAGAGTTCAAATCGTTTATAATAAACACTACGATATTCCATTAAAAATAATAATTGCGACATTTTTTTTTTCTACAAAATGAAGTTTCCTCACTGACCAATTATGAATGTAATATGTATCAAGAATTATAAATAGAAAATGATGATGCATCATTACAAAATAATAGGCTAGTTTATCTCAATTTTTTTACATAAACATTAACGTAGCCGTTGACGTATTAATGAGATCCTATTGCAGTGAAGGAAAACGCCCAACGATGTATTTGTGAACCAATCGGAAAGCAAGACCAGCTGCGGACGGCCAATCAGAGCGGAGCAGCAGCTGTGAGTGTCCAATCAGCGTCGAGCCGGCTCGAACTGTCTGATGCGAGGAAGGCTGAAGTGAAAACAACGGTGGCTCAGGGTGGGACTCTGAAAGGCCGACGGCTTCTCATTTCCTCACAAGATTTCCTTATTTAATTACTTCAACATCCCTGGCCACATGTACGTCTCAAAGTAATCTTCCGATAAAAGGTGGAAATTCGTGGAAAGCTGGGTGAAGTTAGAGCAGAAATCAGCGTGAAAACCGAGTAAAAAGCAGACATGGACGAAAAGGCGTTTTCGAAAGAGCTCGATCAGTGGATTGAACAGCTCAATGAATGCAAACAGCTCTCAGAAAACCAGTCACGTGTTTTTGGTTGAGGACTCGCTTCTTTAGTGATAAACAATTCCACAGATTTTCGAAACAATAATATGAGGATTTTTAATGACTCTGTTGGTGAGGTAATTTGCATTCCACTTCTTATTAATGTTTCCGTTTTTTTATTTTAATCATAGAAAACCGAGTAAAAAGCAGACATGGACGAAAAGGCGTTTTCGAAAGAGCTCGATCAGTGGATTGAACAGCTCAATGAATGCAAACAGCTCTCAGAAAACCAAGTCAAGAGCCTCTGTGAGAAGGTATGTGTGTGCAATACAGCATCAACATCGCCTTTCAGTGTTTATTTGATTTTTCCGCGTTAGCCGCCGAGTTACAAGATGGCGGGCTTTTAAACGGACCCAAGAAACTACGATTGTTCTTAATCTCGTGACAAAACACGACGCAAGTCGACTAGTCTAACGTAAATCTTTTATGAAATCACTTGTGGTGAATACTGAGTTGATTTGTGCGGTTTATGAATTACGGTAACGTTAGCCTGAAAGCTGCAGTAACGTACGTTACTAATCAATCTACGGGAACCCGCAGTAAACTACGACTTGTTAGCAAGTAAGTTAACGTACTAAATCTTCTGATTAAAACAACATGTATGTGTGTGTGTTGTCGAGAGTTTCTAAGCGTATAGATGTTTATTTTGAAAACGCGACGCTGCTTCCTCGTCGCTCACGCGATCTCAAAATGGCGCCCGTGTAACTGACCATCATCTGATGACAGCGACGCACACACATCTCACTGTTATCCAGCGCTCTTTGGACTTTTATACTCCTTTAACATACTTAGTTGCTCTTCCAAAAGTGTACATTTAGGTGTGAGCCTGGAGTGTGTGAAAGGTTTGCTTGCATTTCGGGGGCCGCTTGAAGATTTAACCGTGTTGGTCGCTTGTTGCTGCAGCGGATTTTGTTAGTTGTGCTCATGAGAAAAAACACTAGCAAAAGTAAAATAGCCATTAAGTCACTGCAACTTATTTTATATTAATTATATTCATATGTGCACCAATGAGGTAACATTTAATGAGGGCCAATGTGTGGCACACTAATCTTGCAATCAGTTATAATCATGTAGATTGATAGAATCAGCCATTTAATAATCAAAAATAACTAATTGAACTATATAGAATCTATACAATAATTATTTTTGTTAATACAGTGTTGGTATGGGATGAGTGATACATTTATTTTTTATGTTATTGTGTTTTATTTATTTTATGTTGCCCTTCATTGATTAGTAACAGCTGTTTTACTAATGAACTTTCAGGAGCTGTGTTTTCAATGAGTGGACATCTGTTCTTTAATTGTTTTGTTCTACACCTGAGCCCATTTCTTGGTTTTGTATGTGCACACCTGTTTTATTGTCTATGTTGTAAGTATAACTCTTATTCTGAATGATTTGAAACATCTGGTGACGCATGAGACTTCTGTTGACGTATGCAGGACTTCTCTAATCATTTTGTGCTCTTAAAGGGATAGTTCACCCAAAAATGAAAATTCTGCTGTCAATTTCTCACCATCATGTCGTTACAAACCCGTAAGACCTTCGTTCATCTTCGGAACACAAATTAAGATATTGTTGATGGACTGGTTCATCCGTGCAGAGTACGATCACACCCGTGTGATTTGAGCATTTAAATCTGCGTTCGCGCTGACCTAAAGAGAGCAGCTGTCTGTCATGAATGAAACCGCTTCAGTCTTTTCAACCACACAGTATCATTATTTCTGTGTTACAAACATTCAAATCACAGAAGTACTGGGATAAAAGTTTATAGTTCAGATATAAACTGTGTGTACGATGTGTACGGTAGCGATTAAATTAGAATAAATCACCTTTTGAAAGTAATTTGACGCTTCAAATGAAGATTTATCGATTACATTGTTACGCCAGTAGGTGGCGAAAAGGGGCTGTTAAAATGTATTTGTCTTTGAATCATACAACAGATTCGTTCAAGAACGCGAATTCATCCAGTAATGAAACAAGTACATCTTGAGTGAGTCATTGAATCATTCATTCATAAATTACATGTGATTTCGTTTAGTCGTCTGTTTTTTCTTCAGAATCATGAGAGAACCACAACTTCCATTGGGGGGAATAAAAAGAAAGAAAAAAACCCACAATTTTTCCAGAATCATGCAGTTCTATTTTGCACACAAACAGCTCTTAAAGAGTCCAGTTTTTATGTAGTCTGTTGATTTTTGTTCATGGTATTCATCTGCAACTAAATGGTTTGCAAAAAAGAGACACAGGATAAATGTTTGATATTATTATTTAATCACACTGGAATCGAAAAGAATCTGAATCGATAAAATTCAAACGATACCCAACCCTAGTAGTATTACAAACTTAAGGTAACTACTGGGCTATTTAAAATATAATTAATTGGCATGAAATTTCACAAGTGTGTGGATTTTTGACCTGTATTTGAAGCACTTGAGGGTGTGTCTTATTAAATGTCGCTAGAAAACCGCAATAAGCTGTTCTAAAATCGCCGTAACCCACGGCTTCAAGTGGCTTATTGCTTTTAAAACATTACTACATAAACCTGAGAGGGTTTCATAAAAAAACCCACAATAATACTGACAGAAAAATATTCTATAGCCTAAATGTGCGTTTATAGAATATTTTACAAAGTGGCTCAGACAATCATAATCAAGGACTGTCATAATAATAATGCGGTTGTTTTTCCATGCGTCTGCTGCTTTGCCCCAATCGATTTTTGTGTGA